CACTGGGGATGACCCCCCGCCGTAGGATCGCCACAAAGTGTCACCTTGGGGCACAATGGTGGGGTTTGCCCCCCCCCAAAATCCCCTCCGCCTTCCTCCCCCTGCACCCCCTTGCCCCTACTTCTTCCCATCCCCCAAGGCCCCTTTGTACGTGGCCTGTGGCCAGTAAGGGGAGGTGGGCAGCACAATCCCTCACGCCTTGCCCCCCCCATACCAAAAGTGGCAGGTCTTTAGGCTTTCTATGGGTCAGATGTCTCTCCCTCCCCAAGGATCCTTTGGACCCTGGACTTTGGCCACAGCATCCTCCGTGGGCCAATAGCGCCAACCTTTTTGAATGGCCTGCCCCCACCCTGAGATTTTCTGGGGCTGTTTTCCCCTCCCCACTCCCCCAATAATCTCTCGAGGGGCCCCATTTGAAATGTTGCAACCTTTGCCACATGACGCCAACATGACAATGCACGGCGGCAAAGGGATGATGTGTCAATAGTCGCCGGGTCCACGTAGGGTCGTGATGCCTGAGTTTGGTAAGGAGGCAACTCTGCGTGTGCCCCACGTGACTGGACACGAGTTTGGGTGGAAGGGAGCTATGTTACAGTATTGGGAACAAGAGAGTGTGAAAGGGATATATGAAATAAAGGGCTATATAGATAAGGTAACATGGGGGCAGTCTGTTACCTTTATTGGTGGTTCTAAACTATTAAGGAAATAAACTTTAACACCGATAAAAGGAAGTAAGGTTTTTTTAACACACACATAATTGGCCTGTGGAACTCACTGCCACAATATACAATTGAGGTCAAGAGCTCAGCAGGCTTCACAAGATGATTATCCATTTATATGAATAATGAGAACTTCCACTGTAACATTGGTTAGGAAAAAAAGTGTAAGGGATATAATCCCTTTGCCTTATTAGGGCGAAACTTCCCAAATGGCAGTTTAGTTCATAACTGCCCTAAGCAGTGTTTCGTGATCGTTTGTGTGAAGCATCTGCTACTGGCCGCTGTCGGAAGCTAGATGGACCGTTGGCTCTGATATGGCAATTTCTATGAGTGATGAAGAGGGAGGTCAGCGTTGGAAACCTAGCAGAAAGAAGTGGGTCTTGGGACGTTGCAGGGCACCCAGGATCAGGGAGGATGTTCCACTCATGGGTTGATGTGGAAAAGACATGGAGCTGCTTATGGGAAAAGGAGGCTAGAGGTGTGTCAATGCATGTTGGGTTGGCAGAGTGGAGTGTTCACTGGGCCCAGTTACTCATTTCTGTACAGTCTCTCCCCCTTAATATACAGATGGCACATTGGGGCTGAGCCGGGCCAAACCTAGCCGTTCTCTGTTGCTGCAGTACCCATAAGGGAAATAGCTTCAGGGGGTGCCGTTGAATAGAGGAGACACATTCTGCCCCCCTCTGTCCTTGCATTGGCATATATTTGGCTGCATGAGCAGGGGAGTAGTGAAAGGTGTGGGGGTGAATTATACGTGGGATATAGCAAACAAGGAAGTAAAACATAGAAACTGTCCCTCCGTTGTAGTGGTAAGGCTGATACTCCAGACTTGCGGGTTAGTCAGTTATTTTTTGTCAAGGTCCAGACTCCAGAGAAAATTATAAAAGAAACGATAAGTAAATAAAAAGATTTTGGGGTCTGTTCAAAAGCGTCTGGCAGTCTGGATTTGGCCCATGGTGCGCCTATTGACCATCCCTGCTCCAGAGTGACACGAGTTGCTGCTAGCTTTGCTGTGCTTGAACTTACTGCTTCTCTCCATCCAGTGATTCATCTAACTAGGCTCCTTTAGGACTACAGTAATCCTTGAAAATAAGTGGCGGATCATCTGTCAGAGAAGAGGGGAGGGAGAAAGGGGCTGATGTATCTGAATGATGGCGTTGGAGCAAGAGAATAGAGTTGGGAGTTCCTGCTCACATAAAGGTCATCATGATTACGCAGCTTCTTTCATTCAGGGATCTCAAAGGGCTTTGCAAAGCATTTCATCATCAGAGGGGATAGGAGGATTGCGTTGGGCACTGAATTCGTGGACTGGATGATTCTTGCTGGTTTTTTTTCCCCTTTCTCCTGGATCTGGGCTCCCTGATCGAGGCCCTGGTATATTTATTCATTGGTGGCACAATGGACCAATTGGTTTAACTTGTTCAGCAATCACCCATGCTAGGTGTAGGGATTTCTTGAAGGGTTCAGTTCTGGGCCTTGTGGGAACAGTCTATCTGCTGCTGTCTAGATACTTGTGATGGCCCTTTATAAGTTTGGACTGATTTCTTCTTGCAGCAGGGAACTGAGCCATAGAGGGATTGAGTGATTTGCCCAAAGTCACCCAAGAAGTCTATGGCAGAATCAGAAATTGAATCCCAATCTCCTGAGTATCTTGTTTTAGCCACGAGACCAACCTGCCCCCTCTTTTTCTTGAATCCAGTTATTATCTAGCTGGTACCTGAGGGCTATATGAATATTTTGGAGAGACTCAAACTCTTCTCAAATAACTTTAGTTAATTAACACCTGTGAGGTGCGAGTGCAGGTCTAATCTTCCTAATCATGGCAATTCAATGACCGCATCTTGCCTGGTAAGAAGAATTCAGGGTTTCATATAGTTCTAGGAAACAGTGTTCATACACAAGCCTATCTTAGGATCTCCGGTGCTTGTATGATAGAATTGAAAATGGCCTCTTCCTAAAGGGAAAAAAAAAAACCAAGTCCCTCAGAGATGGACTGTAAAAAAGGGAAATCTTTAATTGGTTATTTATTCCTCCCCCGCTGGGTGCATGAGGTAATAATATCTCATTAGTTCATTGCACAGTCTGTGTTACAGCGAGTTACGCATTAGCATTCCATAAGGTGTGGCTGTCACTGGCCCTTCTATAAGGAGCAGCCCCACATTGCTAATTTTTTCTTCCCTCGTCTCCCTCTGCTGATGGTTTATGAACAGCTCAAGGAATGAGTGGCAGGATTCGGACATCATTACATTGTCACCTCATCCTTTTTTCCTTTCTTTCATGCTCTTACAATTTCCTCCCTCCCCTATGTCTATTTTCCTCCTCTCCCTCTTTTTTCTCCTCAATTCATTATTGTTCTATTGATTGAAATGAGTCGACAAACAGTGTTGCATCAGTGAAGCACTGGAACAACGCAGGCAGACAGCTGGCAGGCTTAGAAGTTAGAACAGGGGGGAACCGGGATTCAGCCCTCTTCCAAATTCTGTCGCCGACTTGTTGTTTGATCTTGGGCAAGTCACTTAAATGCTCTGTGTCTCAGTTTTCCCCATCTGTAAAATGGGGATAATACTGCTCCTCTCATAGAAGGGTTGTGAAGTTTGCATGGCACTTTGTTGGAAGATGCAAGAGAAAGGCAAAGTATTGCTAATTATAAAACGAACGCAGAGCCCTGTATGTTCTGTGGTGGTGGAATTTGCCATGGAATTCACCCATAGCTTCAGATTGTACCCCAGAATCTCAGCTTTCATTTTTTTTTAATTAAGTTTGATCTGTAATGGCTATAACGTCTAAAACATTAATCAAATGTAAAGCAATGCCTATCTGAGTCTGCAAAAAGGGTGAAATAATTGGGTTTGTGAGTGGCCCAGCCATCTCACTCAGGGCCCTGTGGCTTCTGCTATTGTGCAGCTACTGAATTTAGCATTTTTGCTGCTGAATTCATTATTTGGCTGCAGCCAGACGCTGGTCACATGTAACGTTTGCACCATCTTGGGCTCGGACCCAATTCTGACCTAGCACAGTGGCTGTTAAAGGTCCCATGGCATAGCCCAGAAAGAGCCAGGGTCCCTTTCCCCAGCCTGGCTAACTCCTCCCTGTCCCAAGGAAACATGTTCCAAGGCTCAAGTGGTTTTGAGATAGTGCTGTGTTCAGAACAGTTGCTATGTTTGTCCACGTAGTCCTTGCTCTCTTAACATCTGAATCATTGCTTTGTAATGTGCCTTGAGGCATTCTGAACATGAAAGATTCTAGATACAAGAAGATCCCACTCTAAACGTAGTGCTTATTTGGGGGCTGGGGTGATGAATGTAATTTAAACATGGAGTCCGTAGCTGTCAACCTTTGTACCTTGATTAGGAAGGCTGGGAAATAATGGAGATAAAGTAATTCTTATCTACCCACAGCATTTTGTTGTATGCTGTGGATGTGATTGGGCAGAGGTGATATCTGCACCATCTTTTGCTGAATAAATTCTCAGCTGGAGTACTATTGAATTCACCCCTGTACTAGGAGACCTGTGAGAACCCATGGGCCTAGAACCAGGGCTGCAGGGTCCAAGGTAGGTACTACTTCCTCACTGCCACCTGGAGCCTGGTTAGGGTTTTCACCAAGAGGAACTGAAGGGCTAAGCCCTGCACGAAGTCCCACCCTAAGGGGCATGAGCGACAGCCCTCCATGATTCCCTGATTGGCTGAAACTCCCCATTTAAGCTAGGAAGCCATGGCTGGGAGTTGTCTGAGCAGTGCAGACTCTGGTGTGCTTTTGCCCCAACTTTGCTTGCTGTGATCCCTGGCTCCCGCCCCTGATTTACTGTCTCTGGCTTAAGACCATTCTTGACCCTAGTGAAAGACCCTGGCCTGGCCTGACTCCGATTCTCCCCTCACACTCTCAGTTTTATAATGGACTTTGATGTTGCAGTTTTGACCTGACTTGGATTGATCTCTGACCTTTGGCCCTGAGAGTGAGCAGCTAACTGTGCCCACAGGCTGCCCAAGTCCCAGCCCTGACAAGACCCGACAATAAGGACCAGTAGTGTCCCCCTTTCTCTCTATGGCTGGCCGAGATATTACAGCTTTTCTTTTCTGAATGCGGCCCTGAGAACAGCCATCTACACCCTTGCCACCTTCAGGCTATACATCTGCCATCTGTTCCATCTAGAGCTGCCCCACGAGGCCACCGGGAAGTATTGACTGGCACAGAATGCAGCTGGCCGCCTTCTAAGTGATCACAGAAAACCAGTGTTCTGATCTAAGGTCACTTCCACATAGAACTCCTGGTGCCGGTGATGACACAGACTGTGATAACACAGTCCCAGACCTTCTGGGGATTTTATCTGAGGTCATCTCTTACCCCATATACTATAGCTGCAGTTAAGATCAGCTGGGCGGCTCCTGCTTTCTATTCCTGGAATTGGGTTGTCCTGGACTTGCAGCAGGATTTTCTTGGCAAGAAATGTCTCCCCTTGGCAATCTGCCAGACGCTGAGGCTGGCCGCCTCTAGTGCGTGATGGTAAGGCGTATGTTTAGTTTTCTGAGCGTTTCCTGTCTCTGTTCTTGGCAGTTTCGATTTTATTAACAGTTGCGGGGTCAGTAGTTTTGTACTGTCTCTTGCAGGTAACCTTGTGTCATTTATTTTTTGAACTTGTAACAGCACAATTAAAAGGTTCCTAAATAAAGAAACAGGTGAGAGTTCGTATACTATTGATTGATGCGGCTGCTATCCAACATATGTGTTTTAATACTGAGAACCATGTGGCAATTTTACTATAGTGGTTGCTAGTAGCAAATGCTGTATCCTTAGGGTTCGGACCCTTAAGAGCGAACTACTGCCACTTGGGGAGCAAGGATCATGTTGCCTGGGAGGAGTGCACAATGAGTAGGCTTGGAACCATTAGATTTCTATTGGTAAATGTCGGCAAATGTCGATTTCACTGTACACGGGCACACAACCCCACCAAAAATATTTCCATCAACAATATTTGAAATTTACAAATAGGCACAGCAGGAAAAATGTTTCTTGTGAACTTCTTGCAGTTTGATTTAAGGATATTTGTTTTGTATATTTTGATATGTGATGCTGAGAGGTTTTTTTTTTTAAATAGTTATAAAGCTTTAACTTTTTGAATTTCTGTCTCCTGTTGTTTAAACAGTTATTGGCTGACCTGCCCATAACTTCCTGCAACTGTGAAAATTTAGATAGATGATAATAAAAAAGGCTTAAAAATAAACCGATATTATCTGTTAAACTTATAAATAAATAAAAATTGATTTCTGCCAAGCTTAACAATGAGGTATCAGTCTCCCTTTTGAGCCACAAAGATGAGGATGACACAAAATGTGTTGGATTTGGATGCTAAAGCGTTACAGTGGAATTGCTAATGAAAAAATAGGAAGGCTGTTGGATTTGCTTCTTCTTGGCATGAGTGCGTGTCTTGCATTTCTCATGCTGACCGGCCTTGGGTGCTAAGAATGCTCTGGATGAGGTCCCAGGATTCTCTTGTGTCCCAGCTCTGCAGGCTGCAAGGTTTTGTCTTACCCTTCACTTTTGTTCTTGTCCTCTCATAGAACCCAGTCATGGACGAGACCTTAGATGAACCTCCCACTTCTGCTGTCTTCTTGGACAACTGCCACTTCTCCCAGGTTCTCTTTAATAACGTGGAGAAGTTTTACGTCCCCGGAGGAGACATAACCTGCTTTTATACCCTCACGCAACACATCACGCCTCGCAGAAAGGACTGGGTGGGCATTTTCCGGGTAAGCGTGTGCGCCGAACCATTAGCCGTCATGTATTGTAAGGTGGCCGCTCACAAAAGGAATGGCTTGATGTGGACATTTCCAGTTATTTCACGCTTGATCCCTAAGCGGGAGTTTGAGACTTTGGAAGAACAGAGTAGCAGCTCTTTTTCAGGGGCTAACTTGTATATTGTAGCGTCTGTACTGCATCAAGAGACGTAGGACCTGAATCTTTGCTGCACCGTTCTTGCACTTGGGAGCAGGAATGGAGTAGGGGAGGTTAACAAAACATTGAGCCACCATTGCACTTCCTGTATTCTGGGACTGCTGAGGGGCCAGCCTGAAATTAGAGCTGTTTCAGGGCTAATCTGACTTGTGCCCTGTTTTCTAGGGCCAGTGAGGAATAGGCATGGTGTAGTGCATTGTGCCCACATCTGCCCTCAATGCTCTTCCTTCTCCAGAGCGCCTCTCATTCCACACCTCTCCCTTCCCTCTTGCTCCAAGGAAGGAATAAGCAGGCAAATACCCCTGATTATTCCTATTTGCATGGACCCAAGATCTGGGTAGCTGGTATAGGAGTGTAAAGGGGGTTCTTACGGCTTAGTGCGGGCATACAGCCCATGTTACAATATCGCCCTGTGAACGGCCACAGGATAAACGTAAGTAAGCTGTATGATACTGTAGGATTATCTTGCTGTTGCAGGTGGGATGGAAAACAACCCGCGAATATTACACCTTCATGTGGGCGCCTTTCCCGAGTGACCTCAGCGGTGATTCTATTGTGCAGCAGCAAATTCAGTTTCGAGGTCAGTTGGGAAGGGATGGGCAGCTCACAGTGTACACACACACACGCACCATCGTGTACCAAATTGCACTAAACACCAGTAATCAGTTTTACCACCTGAAGCTGTACGACTGTTGAATAGGAATATTGTCCCGTACTTGGGTAAACTTCATTCAAGGAGCTGTGGCTATAAGGTCATCTCAAAATAATAGCCCCCAAGTTTCTCTCAAAGGGTCCTTCCCCCCCGAATGTACTCTGTCAAGTTTAGCTTGGTGAGAGTGTCCCCTCCTGCTAACACAGAGACGCAGCCATATGGCACATGTGGTCCTGCGGCCTCTTCTTCCGCTGTTATCAGTGTAGCAAAAGCCCCTGGTGAAAATCTCCCTTGCAGGTAGTATGTTGAGCTGTGTTTGACCATCCGTGTTCTTTTGGTGATCGGGAGTCACTGACCTGCTCCTTGAGGAGTCATTTACATCAGTGCAAAGTGTCAAAAGTGTTTTACGCTCACTTTGCACTGCTATAGTTGAAGACACAAAGAGCGGGTCAGTGATTACCTGGCCTCATAATGTGGATGTTGCTTTGTAGTCCGTGGTCTTGGGTCTGTTAGATCTGGGCTTTCTGTGCTGTACAGTTGACAAGAGGCCCGAATAATTAAAAACACCCTATGGTGGGGATTTTTGTTTGTTTTAAGCCTACTACCTGCCAAAAGATGACGAATATTACCAGTTCTGTTACGTTGATGAGGAGGGGGTGGTCCGTGGAGCCAGTGTACCTTTCCAGTTCCGGGCAGAGACAGAGGATGATATCCTGGTGGTTACTACACAGGTATGTTCCCTCTCTCTTCCTGCTTTCTCATGCCCCTATCTTTTGTTCAAACTCTCTTTACCTAACACAACATGGTCCAGTGACTACGGCACTGAACTGGGGCTCAGATTTGTTGAGCGCACCAGTGTGCTGCGTGTTAATTTCCCTCATGCGATCCTGGCTGGTGTGCACTAAATGTTCTGTAGTGCACGTTGATGTAGTCCTGTTTCTCATCAATGCATGCTAGCAGGGTCTACCTGTGGGAGTCAGAGCACAACACACAAAGTCGCAAGACCTCCTGGTCAGTCTCCTCTTGGCGCTGGCGAAGGTGGCCGTCCACTGTACCAGGAGGAGGAAGCTGGACAGGGAGGTGTTCTGTGACTGGGGGGGCCTATTTCTGATCCTCCTTTAAGTCATGTCTCTGGGCCGCGTCCACTGGCTCCCTGGACGCCTTCAAGGGGCAGTGAGCGCTATCCGGGGTTCTCTGCTCAGTGTCTCCCTCTGGATCCCTGCTTTTGACCATGTGACCCTCACTCCTGTCTGGTTTTTAATTTGTTGTCTCCCATAATCTCTTGACGCCTGGGTCCAGTGGCTCCTTCTCTTAGGCTGGGGGAGGTGGGGGTTTAAAGGTCTCCAAGAGCCTCAGTAGATGCTGCTCCCTGCAACCCCAGAAGTAGAAACTGGACCATTCCTGTATTAACAGGGTGGGGGTGGAAACGCAGCTGTCACAGCAGGTCATGCTCTGCCAGGAAATGATCAAGGTGCATTTGGGTAGCCAGCAGGTGCTCGTTTGTATCGAGGACTCAGCTGGCTGCCTGAAGTTAATGGTTGTGCAGGGCCTAATCCTACAAGAGGTAGAAGACCCTCTGCTCCCATTGTCCTCTGGGGGAATTAAAGGCATTGAGCTCCTTAGAGTTTCAGGCCTGGTGTGTGCAGTATTTTGGAGCTTGATTTTGAGCTCTGGCAGCACCGGGCGAGACTGAAACGGAAGTCCAGTCTCCCTGGTGTCAGTGAAGAGGTAGGGAAGACTACACTGTGGTTTTCTGCCGGGCTCACGTTCCTTTGCTCATCGCTACACTGCATTCTTATTGAACAAGTCTGTGTTGTTTGCCAGGGAGAAGTGGAGGAGATTGAGCAACAAAACAAGGATTTAGTTAAAGAAAACAAGGAACTGAAGGAAAGCTGCCTGTGTCTCCAGAAACAGAACCTGGGTCTGCAGGAGGAGCTCCGGCTGGCACAGGTACAGACAAGGGATAATACTGTAATTCAGAGGCCTTGTGGCTAACAGCTCAGGCTTATGCATGCCCATTATGTGCTTCCAGGAGAAGATGAAGGAGCTAGAGGGAGAAGTCTGTTTCTTGCAGACTGGGAACTTGGAGCTGCGGAGAGCTCAGGAGCTACAGGCCGGAGAGATGAGCTCTGCCCAGATGAATTTGGCTTCAATTAGGGAACAGAACATAAAACTTGGAAAGGAAAATCAGGTAAAAGTCCAGATGAACTGGAAACTGGGATGACATGGAGGAGGGGAAAAAGGGGAGACCAGGGAAAGTGGAGAGGGGAGAAGAAGATAGAGTCAAGGTCTTAGTCTCCAAGAAATGTGAGCAACTGTATCTCCCATTGTAACCAACGGGGGGTTGGTAAATGCTTCTCAGGGTTAGTCCCAAAGGGCAAAGAGAAGAGAAAATCTCCCCCTCACTTTTTCCCTCCCCCCCCCCATCCCCTTTGATCTCTGTGGAACGGTCTTGCTGCAGTGTCGAGGTGCGGACTCACCCTTGCGGCGCCTCCTGCTGGTGACTTCTAGGAAGTAGCTCGTTCCAGAGCACCCTCTGCAGGCCAGTGATCCACCTGCCCTCTGGCCCCTCCCTGGACCCTGGTTCCCTTGTACCTGGGGTACTGCCCCCTAGCAGCAACCCCTCAGTCTTAGGGTCTCCCCTCCCCAGGGAACCCCCACCCACTATTTCCACCTCACCTCAGTATAAGGCTACTGCCAGTCATCATCTAGCCCCATGCCCTGGGGCAGACTGCAGTATCAGCCACTCATCACTGGCAAGGTTGGGTTTGGACCTGCTGCCTTGACCTACCCCTGGGCTGCCCTCTGCAACCCCCAGTACCCTTTGGCCTTCTGCTAGGCCACAGCCTGGGACTTTCCAGGCTGGAGCTCCCCAGCTCCTCAGCCTGTCCCCAGCCCTGCTCCACCCAGGTACTCTGTGTCTAGCTCCCTGCAACCAGGCCCGTCTCTATCTGAATGCAGAGAGAGACCTCTGAGCACCTGGTTTCCAGCCTTTTTATACAGGCCAGCTGTGGCCTGATTGGGGCGTGGCCCAGCTGCGGCTGCTTCCCAGTCAGCCCAGCTTAGCAGCTCCCAGCCACAACCTTCCTACAGGGCTGTTTTAAGCCCTTCAGGGCAGGAGCGGGGTAACCACCCTGCTACATGCAGCCCCAGCGCTTGCACTTGGGAATGGAACCGACAACCTTCTTTCTGCAATTAGACAGGTTCTGAATGGAACCGGGCTCCTGGGCCCTGCAAAGTTGGTAACCCTGGGCCTTCCCAATTTGGGGGGAACCCTCAGTGCAACAGAGAATCTCCACTTCCATTTAAAAAGCAAACCAAAAAGAGTTTCAAGGCCCTTTCCTGACAAAAAGCCTTGAAAATACAAACCAATCGCTTGGGTGGAAAGGACCGAGCAGCTGGGCTTCACTTCTGTAGCAGGAGCCTGGTGAGGTCCAAAGATATGGCTAGAGAGAGAGATCGGACAGACCTCTCGTGTGCAAAGAGCCAGTTGTGCGTGTCTCTCCAAAAAACGATCTCTCCAACCCTCTCCCAAATCCCGAGGCTGACCCAGTGCAGAGCGGAGTGTTAATGATGGACTGGAGTTGGTTACGTTTGGGGAAGGGGAAATGCTCAAAAATGATTTCATAGGCCTGTCCCAAAACCCCAAAGACCAGCTCTGGATCTGACCTGCCTATTACTGCTCCTTCCTCCTCCTCCTTTGTCCAAGGCCCCAATTTAAGCAAAACTGGAGCTGAATACATGAGAGAAAAGAGAAAGGAGAGAGAAAATCTTGTTCCCTTAGGAGGGTTGTCTGGGATTGTTGCATTCAAAGATACAGCGGGGAGCAAAAGTGATGGCTGTTTCCGGGGTTTGACTCCCATTTACCTTCCTGCACTCAGGAGCTGCAGAAAGGACTGGAGTCTCTGAAGAGCAGCTGTGAGAAACTGGAGCTGGAAGGAAATTTCCTGAAAGAGGAGAACAAGAGGCTGACGGAGCAGAATGGCTGCAGAGAGAGGGAGCTGCAGCAGTGAGTGGTTTACACCATCCGTTTGCAAATGGGAGTTCCTGGAAGCGCAGTGGGTTGGGTTTCCTCTTCTGTTTCGTGCTGATGAAAGCCAGTGACTGTATGCACAGAATGAACCCTGCGAGAGAGAGTATAAGGAGCCCCTTGGGGTTTTGATCTGGGTTTGGCATTCACAGGCCCTCAGGCAAACATAAGTGTGAGGGTGACTGAGCAAAACTGACTCTTGGAATGAGTCCACGGATTATAGCTCTCAGCTGTCTGTGTTGGTTGAGGGGAAAGCAACCCACAGGGCTGTGGAACAGATCCAGGAGTCACGGGATCTCTGGTAACTTCATGCAAAGGTTTGAGCAGTGCTTTGGTATCTAGGGTTCCTCCGTTTGAACCTGCCTGAGGACAAGATAAGCTTTTGATTAGGTTGAGAAATGAAGGCTGCGGGTGTGGTTTACCAAGAGCTGGTGCTGAGGTGGAATTTGGGGGGCCACATGCAGCTGAAAATGTTACAATTTGGTTTCCTTTGAGCAGATTCAAAGAACACAACCAAGAGGTGTCATCTGAAAAGGAACAGCTAGAAAGCAGATTGAAAACTACCCTGGATCACATGGACCAGCTGCAGGTAGGCAAGGCGCAGTCTGTCTCTGCTTCTGCAATCTGTGCAGTACTCTGTGTGCGTCTGACTGGGAATGGAGCTGCCTATAGCAAATTAGGATGGTATCTGAGTTGTTCCTAGTGATTCCATGGGCTCCTTGGGAAAATGTGAACCTACAACGTGACAACCTGAGCTCCAGGAAGCGCCTAACAAGTGCTGTATTTGGGAAGGAGGAAGCGTTAGCAAATCCTTGCAGATTTTTCATCTCATCCCCCAAAACACCTACCCCTCCGTACCCATGTTAGGTTCATCATAAAGACTTTGTACTCCTCTAGCTCCTCCTATCTGAGGATCTCAAAGGGATTTCTGAATGTGGAAGGGTTTATTCTCACAAGAGCCCTATGAGGTAGGTAAGTGGTAATGCTGGCCAGAAAACAACAACTTCATTTCATGAAACAGAGAGGTTTCAAAAAATTTGTTATCCTGCATCAGCAGGAAAAGGAGAGAGACTCTCTGTATCCTGGTACACCTCTATCCCGATATAACGCTGTCCTCCGGAGCCAAAAAATCTTACCGCGTTATAGGTGAAACCGCGTTATATCGAACTTGCTTTGATCCGCCGGAGTGTGCAGTCCCGCCCCCCCTGGAGCACTGCTTTACCGCGTTCTATCCAAATTCATGTTATATCGGATCGCGTTATATCGGGGTAGAGGTGTAGTTAGGCTGGGGACCTGGGAGACCCGGGCCAGTGTCTGAACTACTGGATTATGGAGCCTCTACCCACCAGGCTACATAGCTTTCCCATCCTCCCGACCAGAAATGCCATCCTGGTCCCAATGAACCTTTCCAACAAAAATGTTATCAAATCCAATATGATTCCTCTGAAACATCCCAATTTCACTAAAATGGCATTTGATGGAAAACTGTTGCATCAAAAAAAAAAAATTGACCTGCTCTAACATTACTAGCCCTATTTTACAAAGGGGGAAACAGAGATGGAGTGACTTGACTAAGGCCATGCACAAAATCAGTGGCAGAGCCAGGAATAGAACCAAGCTCTCTTGTCTCGCCGCCAAAGGATCATCTTTCTTGTCTCCACCTTGGTGCTTGTCCAAAAGTTTCACTGGGTTCCAAACATATTTCACTGGAATTGGTTTCCAGACATTTGTTCCGCAACTGAATCAGGTCAACATTTCAGGTTATTTACCGCTCGTGTGCAGTTATGTAAATCACCCCCAAAAGCCATGTGAATAGGACAGGGTTTGGCATTAGGATCTATGGCTGAGTAAGACTTTGCCAGGCTACTTTCATTCCGGACATTCCTGCTGCATTATACATTGCCTGTGCTTCCTTCTGTCCTATATAAATTGTTGGGCCATCGCTTTCATCCACTCTTGTTTCACCTCAGTCCCAGGTGTTGAATCAAGAGAAGGAAATGGAAAACCTGGTTCGGATGGACCATGACAAGACTGAGCAGCTGGGGCATTTGAAGGAGGAGAATCGTCGGTTACGCAGTACTTTGACTGAACAGGTAGAGCCTTCCCTAATAACGTTGAGGCCTGAGGGAGCTGGGGTGGAGGGAGCCCATAGCGGTGAGCAGATGGAGGTGATCTTATGGAAGCTCAAGGGGAATTAGGTGATGGAGGGGAAGGGATTGCCCCTGTTATAGCAGGTGGTGCTGTTACATGGTTTTCTCTTCCAGGTGCTCTTTTTTAGTGTGCAAACCAGTTTTTAGTCTTAGGGGGCGGAAAACACTTGTTGTGATTCAGTTCCTTTGGAAGAGCTGTTGCAAGCAGCAAGAGAATTTGCTCCCTGCCTTAATCTCTAACTAGTGTCAATCCTTCAGTCAGATTTGCTCCCTGGGAGCCAGGGATTTGTGTTTGGCTGAGATTTCTGAAAAAGAGAGGATTGCCTGTGTTCTGTTTGTGACCACCCGTGTCCCAGGACTGGTGTATACATGTAATAAAACAAGGTATACGAGGAATAGACCCAGACTCTGCATCGCTGATTTCTGCTCCAGTGGGAAGCTGGCTTACAAAGCCCTGTATATCCGCTACTGCTTGATGGCGGGGCAACGACACCCTTAACTCTTCTCTGTTGTTCCTTACTCATCTATAGTATCTTAGGCTAGGTCTACACTACCCGCCTGAATCGGCGGGTAGAAATCGACCTCTCAGGGATCGATTTATCGCGTCCCGTTGGGACGCGACAATCGATCCCCAAATCGGCGCTCTTACTCCACCAGCGGAGGTGGGAGTAAGCGCCGCCGACAGAAAGCCGCAGAAGTCGATTTTGCCGCCGTCCTCACAGCGGGGTAAGTCGGCTGCGATACGTCGAATTCAGCTACACTATTCACGTAGCTGAATTTGCGTATCTGAAATCGAATGCCCCCTGTAGTGTAGATGTACCCTAAGTTTAGCAAAGCCATTTAATAGAAGTGACTACAAACAAATGCACTTGGAGCAGAGAGGGTCTAAATTACAGAAGAAAGCCAGAAACAGTGGGAAGCATCCGCTTTCGGTGGGGGATGAGTTGATTGGCTATGTGCGTGCCCCATTTCCTTCTCCAACCTCCCTTCTCTTTGGCGTTCCTTTTGTTATTTATATGCGGCTCCCCCTCACTGATGCATATGGTGCTGAAATTTGTGGTCCTGTGCAGAAAGAGAAGCTGGAAAAGTGTCTGGAGGATCTGAAGGTGACAGAGGCCAGCATGGCTCTTCATCTGCAACATAAGCAGGTGTCATGTCTTTCTTTGGATGGATGTGGGGGATGGTCTCCAAAGAGTAGAGTGAAAAGTGAAGGGATGAAATCTATGGTTGTACAGAGGACAGGGTGTTGCTGGGATTCAGGGAGGGCCAGTATTTCACTGAAAGGAATGTAAAGTCAGTGGGAATACAGCAGAATGGAACATTGCATCACTTTTTTATCATGAAGGGAATATAACTGGCAGGTTAGAGAAGAAACAGGCCTTTCGCTTAGAGAGGAAGGGGGTGAGGTTTGCGGTGGTCCTGAGTCCTGGGGGAGTTTGCTCCACAAGCTCCGACTAGCCCTGAGAAAGCTCTTGTTCCTGCACACGCAAACTGTTACTGTTGTTGTAGAAACTTCCATTGTGCTGAGGAGCAAAGTTGTTGACCGTGATCTTGAGCTTGGAGCTTGACGCAATCTTTTAGATACCCATGGCTCAGGTCATTGAGCACCCTGAAGATGAGAACCAAGACCTCAAACTTGATTTGCTATTCTATGGGAAGCCAGTGTAGGGAGCTGAGGGCAGGTTTCATGAGTTCCCAGTAGGGTTGCTGGATGTATTCCTGGAGGTTTCATCACATGACATAATCTTTGATTAAAGATTAATCTTTAATTCCTGGAGATTCCAGGACAATCCTGGAAGGCTGGCAATCTTAGTTCACAGTAGCCAGTGTTGCTGAGGAGATGTGCTGTGGTGTTCTCTACTAGCTGAAGTTTCCTAAGTGCTGAAGGCTTCATGCCCAGGTGTGCTGCATTGTGGTAATCCAGCCTGAGCGGTAACAAAGGCATGAATAGCCAAGGCCAGGTCACTGTGTGCCAAGATGATGGAGACTTCTAGACAACCAGAGAGGAGTCCTGGGCGCAAGCCAGCTGTGGAGTTTAATCGGTAACTGAAACTGATAAGATTGATGCTTATCGGTTAAACTTTTACATCCCTACTCACAGTATCACCATGTATGTAATGAGGGAAGTACAGGCCATGAGTGGTTTATTTTGGAAGGAGTGGTGATTTAAGTTGGTTAGCTATGACATGGTCAGACTCTCGTTGAAGGTCAAGGTTGATTTATTGATGAAACACACACAAACACACACACCCAAATGCTATCTGAGCAATTCCTGATGCTCTCACAGCTTTTCTTTCGGTGATTCCCCATCACTGACGAACCTAATGCTTTTGCTTAACAGCATCAAAACCGTGATCTAGCAAAGGAACTCGAGGAGAAGAACCATTTGTTTCAGCTTCTTCAGCGGAAACAGGATGAAATTGAGGAGAAAAATCTGGTGAGAAACTCACACCCGCACTACCAACCTCACAGCGCAGAGAGGTCTTCGTTAGCAGTGGTACTGAACACAGTTCAGAGTTAGGCAAGGTGGTTGGATGAAAAGCTGCAAGAGGTTTTGCTGAGACTTATTAAGGAGCTCATAATAATGAACCATTATTATGAAATAGAGAATCGTGAGAAAATAGTTAAAAAGAGCTGTCTGACAAGGAAATTGTGGAAGAAAGCTTTACTAAAATGCAATCAGATGACATGGTGGGTTTTTTTCAGATGCTCGCAGCACTGGCCTAACTGCTCCCATGGAATTCAGTGGTCCTACCCAGTATTTGAAAACAAACCACACAAAGTCTTTTCACTGAGTTATTAGCTAAAGAATAGCTCCCGGTTTCTGGTCAGAGCTTTGCCATTAACTGAATGACCTTAGGCTGGTCATAGATTTTTAAGGGCAGAAGGGGTTATTTTGATCATCAGTGTCCAGTTCTGGGCACCCCACTTTAAGAAAGATGTGGACAAATTGGAAAGAGTCCAGAGGAGAGCAACAAAAATGTTAAAAGGTTGAGAAAACCTAACCTATGAGGGAAAGGTTTAAAAAAAAAAATACCTGGTCATGTTTAGTCTTGAGAAAAGAAGTCTAAGGAGAGACCTGATAAGTCTTCAAATAGGTTAAGGACTGTTATAAAGTGGACAGTGATCATTTTTTCTCCAGGTCCACTGGCGGTAGGACAAGAAGTTAAGGGCTTAATCTGTATTATAAGGCTAGCTAGGCTCTGAAATAGACTTCCAAGCGAGGTTGTGGAATCCCCGTCATTGGAGGTTTTTAAGAACAGGTTGGATAGACACCAGTCAGGGATGGTCTAGGTTTACTTGGTCCTGCTACAGCTCAGGGGGCTGGACTTGATGACTTCTCAAGGTCCCTTCCAGGCCAAAATTTCTATGATTCGATGATCATCAGGTCTGACATCCTGTGTTACACAGGCCATCAAATAGGTATTTTCACCTCCCTTTGCCTGTTTCCCTCCCATCTGCAAAATGGGGATAAGCCTGGCCTCCTGAAAAGGATTTGTGAAGTGCTTTGAGATTCTCGGGGGAGAGTAACTATATCAGCGCAAACGGTCATGACTAACAATAAATGGCTTCTCTCGGAAATGGCCCCCTGAGCTCCTGGAACTTCATTCTGCTCTTCTGTCCCTTTGCAGAGACTAAGGCAAGAGAACAACGAGTTGCTGATGCGCCTCTCTGAGAGCCCAGATTATTCTGCCCGGGTTGCTGTCCCGTCGGCGCAAGTTCCAACTCGGCCTCCAGAAAGTGCAGACCTTTTGTTTGGGAACCCGTACTATAGTGAGTTACTTGGCCTTCTGTGCAGAGGCTCCCAGGGACCACACGGGATGGGTCCGATCTAATTACATCCTGACTGCTTCCGAGCAGGAGAACCCTAATCAAGGAACTGGGCTAGAATCAGAGATGAATTAAGAATGAATAGAGTTGGGAGCTACCAAAATTCCAGCCCCCACCCTCCTGAAGATCCTTTCTTCAGTCCTCCTACCTGTTCTTGGCCAGGGAGAGACAGAAGGTGAAAATCTACTTCCTTCCCATAGCTCCTGAGAAGATGGAATCTGTCCATTCACTCTTTGTTGGCAGGAGGGACTTCCCCCTACCCACGTGGTGGTTGGGGTCTCAGCAGGTTGTCATCCCTCTTGATTTGGAGGCTTGTAGAAAAGAAGCTCTCAACAGCATGTTTGTGCTGCCTCCCATGTGTTCAGAAGATGCCCTGGCAGCTCCAAAACTCTGTCAGGTCTGAGAGTTGACTTAAGTGATTAGCACTGTGCTCTCTTTCTGCCAGTTTGCCCAGTCACAAGGCAGCCAGTCCCATGGCCTCAGTTCAGCGTTCCGGAGTCTTAAATATAGAGGTTCCTTCCAGATTCAGAGCTAGGTCTGGTGCTTCAAGAAGAATAACAGGTCAACACCACATCAAATGGTCTTGTTTTGGCTATGGTTAAGACTTGCATTTTCTGTTCTTTTGCAGACTCCCTAGAAACAAGTGCTGTGAACATGGTGAGTAAAGTGGCTGGTGGATTTTGCTTAGTGGTATGAAGGCAGGAGTCTAATTGAGCTCCATGGCCAGTTTCCTCTATAAGCTTTTAGTCCTGGTCAAGGTAGTGGGTTCTACCTTCCCAGACAGCGGAATGGAGCCCTGGATATTTCAGAATAAGCTGGGGGAATTAATGATGATTGTGCTAAGCAGGAGCGAGGGACCTCTGCTAGAACTCAATTGCAGCCCTGGGCAACATCAGCATGGAAGCCGGAATGAGCAGAATTCAGCTGCATTTCATAATGGAGAAATGGACACATACTGGGTAGGATAGAAAGCAAAAGCCGTTCTGAGAAGCTGTTCGGCTCACAGAGCCAGTCACTGTGGGACATTTAAAACCCTGTGGAGTATTAGAACCTAGAGCGGCCTGTCCTGTAACTGATTATTTCTAACCTCCCTTCCTCCATAAGATAAGATATGCATATATAGATATGCTAGTGCAGATATCTATACGTCATTGTTTTGTATTCACCTTTCAGCCCTCTGTGAAGAAATGCCCCCTGTGTCATGAGGTCTTTCCTGATGACATTGGGCCACGTCAGTACGAGGACCATGTGCGAAGCCACATTCTGGATTGCCCGTTCTGTGACGAGACCTTTGAGGATAAGCAGGTGTATGATGATCATGTGTACTGCCACAGCCTGGAATAATTCTTCATTCTGCTTTGTGCTGTATAGCAGGTGTATAGCTCCTCTTTCAGGTGTGATAGCACAGACTTGATCGTAACCAATACTGTAGGAATATAGATCCTAGACAAATCACCCCAGCAAGGCTGGACTAAGCACCAGTACTGTAGTGCCGACCCATCTGTTCCTTGTGATGTGACGCATCATCAAGTTGGGTCAGATACCAAGCAGTACTACTGAAATAATCCATCCTTGTCAGCTGTCAAATATGGGCACTCTTAAACAGCTCAGTCCCTGTGGGCTGGTCTACACTGGGGGGGGATTGATCTAAGATACACAGCTTCAGCTACACTATTCGCGTAGCTGAAGTCGAAGTATCTTAGTTTGACTTACCTGGCCGTCCTCATAGCGGCAAGTTGAGCACCGCGGCTCCCCCGTCGACTCCGCTTACTCCTCCTGCCGAGGTGGAGTACGGGCGTCGATTCGGGGATCGATTTATCGCGTCTAGACGAGACGCGATAAGTCGATCCCCAATAGATCGATTACTACCCGCCGATCCGGCGGGTTAGTGTAGACATGGCCTGTAACCAGTTGTTCAGACCGAAGGCAATACCAGTACTTCAGAACAAAGGCTGTCACTAAGATCTGTTGTTCCGATCTAACCATGTACTGATATTGTAGAACAGCAGTTGCCTGTGTTTTGCAGAAACGCCTCTGTTACAATTGTTATATTCCTTAGAGCAGAGCTGAGACCACTAACCCTAAGGCCAAAAACAATGTATACTGCCCTTGAGCTCAAAGTCCCAATCTTATTAATGGTTACAGGACTGAAGATCTAACTTAATAATAAAATTGAGTCCTTCCTTCACCCTTTATCCCAAGCCAGTGAAAGCTTTACATATCTCAGGAATGAGTTTAACCATCTGTGTGCATCCTCTAAGGAAATTGGTGGGGGGAGCCTGGATTGTTTCTCTGATTTGCTTGTCTGACACTTCTTGATTCCGGGACAAAAGGAGCCTCTTCTGAGTGCAGAATGCTGGGCTTCAAACCGATCAAGTTCCTGGGATGATTGCACTGCTTTTGCACAAGTTTTAAATTCTTTTTGTTGCAATGTACAGCAAACATTCTTTCCTCTATGCAAACACAAGGGTAAAGTTTATTATCCAACAGTTACACTGTGCATTAATTTAGTGATGAATATCTAACTCTATAGGGAATCCTAATAGGTTTTCATAATAGCCTGGTTCAAATGAAGTTAAGAATATAATGGATACTTTAAAACGTTGCTTTAATATCTTCAGTGCTAAAGGCTTAAATAAACTTGTATCGATCAACCTTTGATAAAAACTTTGGACTTCTGTCTTCAATTATGTAATAAGGCTTTTATTTTATTTTTTTAACTGTTAGCAGGCACTATACAAAACCATGTAACAGAGAAATGGAAAAGGTGAATAAAGAATAGCAAACAGAAACTACACCAGGAGAAAATGTCTGGTTATTTTTGTAACAAATAAGACAAGTGGAGATTCTACCAACCCATCCCGAGTGAAAGAGGTCCTCAGGGAGTTGTCTTGCAGGCCCTTATTCCTTTCTAAGGCCCAAGTCCATTTATACACATCCCTAACTTTTAGCACAGGAAGTACTCCACACTGAAATCAACTGGATTGCTTGCACTTACTGGAAAACAAGGGGCTTGTCCTCACACGGACTAGCACCAAAATAACTAAATTGGTTGTAAGTCACACCTTGTGCTATTTCAGTGCAAATCTGTGCATGGACACTCTTCTATGACCCTTTTATTCCAAAGTAAGCGCCCCCCCCCCGGCCCCCCGTGGACTTTTCCCATCCCCAAGCATGTTCCCAGCCTCTTCACTCTGCCCCCAGCATTGCTACTGAATCCCCTTGACTCTACAGCCCTTATCACCATCCAGAATCCTTATTATTTATTTTCCGGTAGCATCTAGGAGCCCTAGTTGTGGACCAGGGCCCCACTGTGCTAGGTGCTGTACAAACACACATTATTTTCCCTGACATGTCCAGTCACCTTCCATGTTCCTCACACTCATCCCTTGCTGCCCAGTTTGCCTCCATGCTGGCATAAATAATCACCATCCCCAGAATTGGATAGTTATTTCCTCATAAGAGGAACATGGATCGGTTTCATACCCTGGGCATTTACTTAGTAAGATGGATCAGGACTGACACAATGATGTCACTTTGGACAATCACTTAACCTCGCTGCCTCAGTTTCCCCATCTCTAGCATGGGGATACTGACACTTTCGTACCTGTCACCCAAGACCATGTTGCATAGCTCTGAAGAGGGAGAGCACTGTATTTGTGCTCAGTATTATTATAAGGGCTGCAGGTTTGTTTGCCCTGTAGGTGGGACCATAAAGCTATTTTCCTCACCTCAGCTTTGAGTTAATGAGTCACTGATGTTCAGAGGTTTGTTTGAAGTACAGGAGGAACAATTCAGTTTCATTGTCTATTCCCCCTCCTTTTATTATCATTGGGTTTAAGTTTGACTTGAGGGTTTTTGGGATGGTGACATCATGCAGTCCTCTGAAGACATTTGTCTATAATTAGGGCTTTGCATGATTTGCTACTTGTTGCCTCTCCTCATATGTTTAGACTGTAAATATTTTTAGGCAGGGATTGTCTTTTTTTAATTATGCGTGTCTGGTGTCTAGCACCCTTTTTCCCTGATCCATTGACAGATGCCGGAGTTTCACTAGCAAAGTTGGCCTTTATTTCATCCATGGGTTTCCATGAGGTCTTCTGGGTCAAATCCTCAGCTCATGGAAATCAGCGTAGCTCCATTTATACCAGCTAAAGATCTGACCCTCTGTTTTTAACTTAATTGGCACAGAAGATCTTGGAAAAAGGAAAGATTCCTGTTGTTAGCTGCCTCCTTAATATGGGATCCAAACCGAGCAGATTGAAAAAAGGAATTTTGATCCTGTGGGAAACTCAGTATTTTGACATTTTGTTTTCATCCTCAATTGGGACAAAAGTGGCAATAGTGAGACTCCTTGCCCAATGAAAAGTTCTGAAATTTTTGAGTTTGAAATGTCCACGTATTTCATTCTGACATGATCAAAATGAAATCTCAAGATTCCCCAAATGAAATGTTTCATTTCAATTTTCCCCAGCTGAAAATGTCACCAAACTTGTTTTTTTCCCACAGAAAAGATCAACGAATCCCCATTTTCCAGTGAGAAACCATTTTTTTCCCACCAGCCCTAGTACCAAGTTATTTTTTGCTTCCTAGGAAACCCTCCGTTTTTACAGACACATGGCTATGATACAGACAGATATAGATGTTATTAAAATCCTGATATCAGCACGTGCTCCTGTTAGACACAATTACCACACCTCTTTTCCCAACTACACTTAGGGTGACCAGATATCCTGATTTTATAGGGACAGTGCCAATTTTGGGGTCTTTTTCTTATATAGGCTCCTATTACCCCCCACCCCGATTTTTTTACATTTGCTGTCTGGTCACCCTACCTACACTGTGGTTAAAACCTGCTTTAGAATCCGAGTTCACAAACCCAAACCATGGTTATTTGAGGTTAGATCCATGGCAGGAGTCTGTCTTATGCCCTTTATGCTGTTGATGCCATGAACTGTGCTCCTAGTTCGCCATTCCCTCCCTTTTACACTGGTTGCTGTCACCATCATCTTCCTTCTTGCATGCTCCTGTCGTTTCTCACGCCTGTGCCATTCCAACAGCATGCAGAGACAGTGGATGCCCAGCAGGGGGGGGTTAGACGGCAGGAAGTCTCATGATGGAGCTAGTAGGACTTTTCTGCAGTAAGAAGATCAGGAGTACTTGTGGCACCTTTCTGCAGTAGTGGCACAAATTCAGCCCCGCCCCTGTACAGAGCACAGTAAGGTGCAGCATGCATCTTCTCTATCCTGGGGTAATTTGGCCCCTGCACAGTTTAGGGTATCCATTTGCTGACCTGTAATGTACAGCCCCATTTATATCACCAGTGAATGGGGCCCACGGAATCCTCTCTGATACACTGGTGTAAATTAAGAATAACTCCACTGGCATATACAGTAACTCCTCGCTTAACATTGTAGTTATGTTCCTGAAAAATGCCACTTTAAGCAAAATGATGTTCAGCGAATCCAATATCCCCATAAAAATTAATGTAAATGGAGGGTAGGTTCCAGGGAAATTTTTTTCACCGGACAGAAAAAATTATATACAGCATAAGTTTTAAATAATTTTAAACAATTTACTACTGTACTCACCAACCAATTGTGAAGCTTGGTTGAGGCAGGGACGTAGCGGGGTTGGGGCACAGGGGCTTTCCCCACTCCGCCCACCTGACGCTCCTGCTGGGGAGCAGGCTTGGGGGCTTGCCCGCTCCCTGGTTGGAATGCCGGGCAGGTAGAGTGGGGCGAGCCCTGACCCCCGGCTGGAACGCCGGGCGGAGCGGGATGAGCCAAACAACCTTATAACAGAACATTGCGCAACTTTAAACAAGTATGTTCTCTAATGGATCATCAACCTAATAACAAAACAATGTTAACTGGGATGACTTTAAGTGAGGAATTACTGTATGTACTTTCTAATTTTGGAGGTGTTCCCTTATTACATTGGTAGGTGTTGAGTAAGAGCCTACAGAGAGCAACCCCAAAAAGGCAGAGGAGCAGTTTTCTCCCTGTGGCAAAGTTTCTACCCCAACACGGCCTCTTAGCTGGGGCTGTGGAAACTTTTGTCTCAGTTTCCCACACCGTCCCTAGGCCTGCTCCAGGCATAAGAATGTCCTAGCCCTCAGCCAGACTACTTTACAGAGTCCCTCACTAAAGTCCTAAAGGAATGTATACAACAACCAAATCTTCAGCCCAGCTGGGCTTCGCTAGTAGCCACCTCTCTACAGGTGCTGACATCACACTACCATGATAGTTTCTTTCCTGTACCTGTGCAGAGTTCAGCAGGGTACTTTTATGTCCAACTTTGGTTATATCCTAGAAAGGGAAGGGTGTTTATTTGAAATTTGACTTGGAGTTTGCGGGTCAAATCCACAGTGGG